TGGCCAACTGATGACAAATGTGCAAAAGCAAAAAGGTGGTATGTGTAGATCTAATTCTTTACAACTGATGTATATTTTTGTAGCCCTGGGGCTGTTTTATGATTTTGAACTATTCCTCCACATCTTTTCAATGTATTTCCCACACTATAACCAGAGGGGTCCTGACAAAAATCTATGAGATCTTGTCCCTCATTTGCCCAAGAACTCTGGCCCTTCATACAGGCCCAGAGACTTCACATGTCCTCCCCCAATTCTGGTACCCCCCTGCACACTGGTCACCCCCAAATCCCTCAAGCTGGCTGCTGCCTCAGGGCATTCTCACGTTGCCCCCCGATGCCTTTCCTGACTGTCCTATTAAAAATCACCACCCAGTTCCCAGAACAATGTCTACCATTCTGACCTTTAGAGTTGCCTTTTGGAACACAGGACTGTGCTATTCTGAAGACTGGTTTGTTGTGGATATGCACTATGCTCTGCCAAAAGGTGGTTAATTTTTTCCTTCTCCAAAGCCCAAACTGCAAACTATGTGTGAAAATTCATCTTGTGAAGAGCAGTCTGTTCTCAGTCTCACTCTGTGTAAGTCCAGAGTACGTCTGCTCACATTTTGATCTTGCACCCACTCTGCTCCCTTGGGATCTACCCTGGAGAGGCTGCAGGGGAGGTCCTTGACAGGTACTCACCCATGGCCTGAGCACTGGGTTGAGAGTCAGGAGCAGCTAGAATGATGTATGGGCCAGAGCAGCTTATGGAACAGAGAGAACAGACAGACCCAGGAGTAGAGCCACAAGGCACTGGAAAGGGGGAAGTGTCCCCTTCCCTGACCTTATGAGTAAAGACAAGCGGTGTGGGCAGGGAACACAGAGAAGCACTGGGTGGAGCTTCTGTGCTGGGACAGCCTGACTGCTCCTGACTGAATATTCCACAAAATAGTTGTAGACATCATGTCTTGCCAGCTGGAACTCTGGACTTCTGGTTTTTTTAATGAGATATATGCCTTCTATCCCTTAGCACATACTTCTTCAGACTATCTGGACTGAATTCATGACTGTTGTATTTAGCATTGAATTTTCTCATGCATTTTGTGATTTTTGTCTGTGTCCCTCTCTAGTGGTGACAAGATGTCTGCTGCCCTTAGCTTCACAGTTGTTCACATTATGGTTCCAGGCACAGAGCTCGTTGGTTTTCCTGAGCCAGAAGCCCCACCAGGCAGCTGCAGCATAGGGAGAACTCACCCTGAGTCCCAGGCTCCCCAGACCAGGTGCTTGGTGCTGCCCCCTTCTCAAAGATACAGCACCTGGCAGGCTCTGAACTTCAGGCTTTTCAGTTTCTGTTCTATCTCTTGTCCAAGGACATGGCAATCTTGGGCAATGGAGTCTGGATTTTATTCTTTTTATGTTTTTCTTTTTTCATTTTAAGTTCTGTGATTAAGGTGAATGGAGTGAGCATCTTGACTAGGTTTGCCTGTCTCACTTTCTAGCTTTGTTGTGTTTCAGGTTTTTTTCTTCCTTTCTTATTTTCTATATTTGCCTGATCTTCCCTGATGTCAGGCCCAGAAATCTCCTCACAATTTATTCCTATTACCGAACACTCATTGAGCAGTAATATCAAGAGTAAAAAGTCAAAGCTATACTTCTGAATTATTTTTGTTCTCTTCTGTTTAATGACCGTGATGAGTTCATATTAAATGTATACAGCACATAAAAAGAAAAAAGGGAAAAGTGATACTATCGAGTAAGAAAGTACACTAACCTACTTCCTGTTCTGACCATAGTAATTCTAGAAAAAAGCACTGTCCTTTTCTGTCATGAAAGAGCACTTGAATCTCTCCTGTTCTCTTCTTTTCTACCAGCATGGCAAGCTGCCAAAAGTCCACTCAGGGGAGTTCTGAGTCTGGCCAATTGCTGGATATAAAAGTGATCTCAGCAAAGATAACCACATACCAAAACTGCTTGTGGCGGGGGCGCCTGGGTGGCTCAGTCGTTAAGTGTCTGCCTTCGGCTCAGGTCATGATCCCAGGGTCCTGGGATCGAGCCCCGCATTGGGCTCCCTGTTCCGCGGGAAGCCTGCTTCTCCCTCTCCCACTCCCCCTGCTTGTGTTCCCTCTCTCGCTGTGTCTCTCTCTGTCAAATAAATAAATAAAATCTTTAACAAAAATTTAAAAAGTTAAAAAAATAAAACTGCTTGTGAATTTCTTGTTTTAAGGCTATTGCCCTGCAGTTACATAAGAATCAAAAGCCTTTTTTTCCCCTGAATATATTTAGAATCTGTTTTTCTACTTTATTAGTTTAAAAACAAACAAACAACCTTTCCTTTGCAGCAGAGTTTTCAACTGGCACTGTTAACTTATTATAATCTTTCTTTAAAAGAAATCACTTTCAGTTATGTTCTCATTCTATTTCCTTCAAGAATGAATGAATGAGGGGCACCTGGGTGACTCAGATGTTTGGGCATCTGCCTTCAGCTTGGGTAATGATCTCCAGGTCCTGGCATCAAGCCCCAAGTCGGGCTCCCAGCTCAGCAGGGAGTCTGCTTCTCCCTCTCCTTCTGCCCCCTCTCCACACCCCCTTGTGCGCTCTCTCTCTCAAATCAACAAAATCTTTTTTTTTTTAAGATTTTATTTATTTGACAGAGAGACACAGTGAGAGAGGGAACACAAGCAGGGGGAGTGGGAGAGAGACAAGCAGGCTTCCCGTCGAGCAGGGAGCCCGATGCGGGGCTTGATCCCAGGACTCTGGGATCATGACCTGAGCTGAAGGCAGACGCTTAACGACTGAGCCACCCAGGTGCCCCAACAAAATCTTTTTTTATTTTATTTTATTTATTTGACAGAGAGAAAGAGATAGTGAGAGAGCGAGCACAAGCAGGGGGAGTGGGAGAAGCAGGCTCCCCGCCAAGCAATAAGCCTGATGTGGGGCTCAATCCCAGGACCCTGGGATCATGACCTGAGCCAAAGGCAGCCACTTAACCGACTGAGGCACCCAGGTGCCCCTCAAATAAACAAAATCTTAAAAAAAAAAACCCACACATAAAAACACACACACACAAACAAAAACAAAAAACAAACAAAAGAAGAAAAAGAACAAATTAAGCCCAAAGTTAGCAGAATGGAGGAAATAAAGAGTAGAGCAGAAACAAAGAACAGAAAAATAGAAAAGATTAACCAAACTAAGACTTGGTTCCTTGAAAAGATAAAACTGACAAACCCTTAGCTACACTAGCCACAGAATACAGAGAGTACCCAAGTCAACAAAATTAAAAATGGAAAAGAAAACATTACAACTGATACCATAGAAATACAAAGGATCGAAAGAGGCTACTATGAACTATATGCCAACAAACTGAACCATCAAACAGAAACAGAAAAATTCTCAGAAAAATACAACCTACCAAGAATGAATCAGAAAAAAAATTGAAAATGTGAACTAATAAGGAGACTGAACTGGTAATCAAAAGTCTCCCAATGAAGAAAAGCCCAGAACCAGATGGCTTCCCTCATAAATTTTACCAAACATGTACAGAATTAACACCACTCCTCCTCAAAGTTTTCCAAAAAATCAAATAGGAGAAAGTACTCCCAAACTCCATTTTCCTGAACAAAGACACATAAGGACACTACTGGAAAACTGCAGGCCAATATGCCAGATAAATGCAAAAATTCCCAACAATATACTAGCAAAGTAAATTCAACAGCCCATTAAAAGGATAATTCAGGGGTGCCCGGGTGGCTCAGTCGGTTAGGTGTCTGCCTTCGGCTCAGGTCACGATCTCAGGGTCCTGGGATCGAGCCCCAGAGCCCCAAGTCGTCGGGCTCCCTGCTCAGTGGGGAGTCTGCTTCTCCCTCTACCTCTGCCCCTCCTCCCACCTGTGTTATCTCTCTCTCTCGAGCACGCACATGCTCTCTCTCTCTCTAATAAATAAAATCTTTAAAAAATAATAAAAGGAAAATTCACCGTGATCAAGTGAGATTTATCACTGGGATACAAGGAAGGTTCAACATATGCAAATCAACCAATATGACACACACTGCATTAATAGAACAAAATCTAAAAAATCCCATCATTTCAATAGATGCAGAAAGAACACTGGACAAAATTCAACATCCTTTCATGATTAAAAAAAACTCTCAATAGGACACAGGCAGAACATACTTCGAATTACAAAGGCCATGTATGACAAGTCCACAAAACAAACATACTCTAAGGTGAAAGGCTGAAAGCTTTTTTTCACTGAAGATCAGGACAAGAGTGCTCACTCTTGCCACTCCTTGGAACATAATACTGGAAGTCTAAGCCAAAGAAATCAGGGAAGAAAAAGAAATAAAAGGCATCCAAATTAGAAAACAAGAAGTAAAACTGTTTCTATATATAGGTGACATGACCTTAATACAGAAAATCCTAAAGACTCTGCTGAAAACGCTGTTAAAACCAATAAACGAACTTAAAAAATCAGTTCCATTTCAGGACTTCTGGGAAAATGGCGGAATAGGAGGATCCTGTGTTCACCTCACCCCATGCATACAACTAGGTAACACCCGCGCTGGTGTAAATAATCCAGAAAATGACCTGAAGACTGGCAGAACAGACTCTCCACAGCTAAATGTAGAGAAGAGGCCACACTGAGGAGGGCAGGAAGTGTGGAGATGTGGTCTAGAGCCAAAAAGACCCACAGGACTATCCACAGAAGGATGCCAAGGGTGTGGAGAGAGGAGAGGAGATGCCCCTCCAGGCACCTCAGACATGGGGACCTGCCCAAAGACAAATTCCCGTACCATTTGACTCTGAAAACCAGATGGGACTGGTTTGGCAAGTTCTTACAATCAGTGGGGTTTAGCACCTGGAACTTTAAGGATCAGTGGGATAGGCTCTGGGAGAGCTGGAGGGTGAAAGTAAACTGAGTCTCCGCCCTTAAAGAGACAGCACAACAAACAGCCCCAGTGAGATACAGCACAGAATCAGCAGTTCCAAAAACACTTGAGGAATACAAGAAAAAGATTTATTTACTAATCTCAGAGCAGGTGCCGGAGGAGCAGGAATCTTTGGAAGATGTCTCCAAGAGCAAAGGAGCTGGTGAGTGCCGCATCGGGCTCCCTGCTTCGCGGGAAGTCTGCTTCTCCCTCTCCCACTCCCCTTGCTTGTGTTCCCTCTCTTGTTGTGTCTCTCTCTGTCAAATAAATAAAATCTTTAAAAAAAAAAAATCAGTCAAGGGATTCACAAAATAAAAGAATGTAAGGTATGACACAATATACCTGAAAAATGGGAGAAAGAGAAGTAAAAATTTAGTGCTTTTAGAATTAGTTTAAACTTAGGCAACCATCATCTTAATATAGACTGCTATATGCATAAGATATCATGTATACACCTGATAGTAACCACAAATCAAAAACTTGTAATTGATATGCAAAAAATAAAGAAAAAGGAATCCAAAGTATATCACTAAAGAAAGCCAGCCCTGACCAGCCTTTGTCTCAGGTCATGATCCCAGGGTCCTGGGATCCCGTCCAGCACTGGGCTCCCTGCTCAGCGGGGAGCCTGCTTCTCCCTCTGCCCCTCCCCCATCCTGATGCGCGCACGCACGCGCGCGCGCTCTCTCTCTCAAATACATAAAATCTTTTTTAAAAAATTAAAATAAAGCCAGCAAACCATGAGAAAAGAGCAACTGAAGAAAGGAACACAGAGGAACTACTAAAACAACCATACAGCAAGTAACAAAATGGCAATAAATACAAACCAATCAACAATTACATCGAATGTAAATGAACTAAACACTCCATTCAAAAGACATGGGTTACAGAATGGATAAAAAAGCAAGACAAACCTGTATGTTGCCTACAAGAGACTCATTTCAGACCTGAAGACACACACCGAAAGTGAAGGGATGGAAAAGCAATAATTATGTAAATGGAAGCTAATAGAAAGCTGGGATAGCAATACTTACATTGGACAAAATATACTTTAAAATAAAGACTAAAAAGAAACAAAGAGGAGCACCTAGGTGGCTCAGTCAGTTGAGTGGTGGACTCTTGATTTCAGCTCAGGTCATGATCTCGGGGTCCTGGGATCAAGTCCTGCTTCAGGCTCCACACACAGCAGGGAGTCTGCTTGAGGATTTTCTCTCTCTCTCTCTGTCTCTCCCCTTCTCTCTCTGCCCTCCCCCCACTTGCTCGCGCACATGCGCGCTCTTTCCCCCTACAATAAATAAATAAATCTTTAAAAAAAAAAAAAAAAGGATGCTTCACAATCATAAAGGGAACAATCCAAAAGGAGGCTATATATAGCAATTGTAAATATTTATGTACCCAACATGGGAGCACCCAAATACATAAAGCAACTATTAACAAACATAAAGCAAAAAATTGACAGTAATACAATAATAGTAGGGAACTATAACACCCACTTACATTAATGGATAGATCACGGAAACAGAAAATCAACAAGGAAACAATAGCTTTGAATGACACATTGGACTAGATGGATCTAACAGATATACACAGAACATTCCATACTAAGACAAAATACACATTCTTTTCAAGTGCATAGAGAACATACCCTAGATCATGTCAGGCCACAAAACATGTCTCAACAAACTAAAAAATACTGAAATTGTATCATGCATCTTTTCCAACCACAATGCTATGAAACTACAAATCAACCACAAGAAGAATTCTGGAAAGAACAACTGTACATGGAGGTTAAATAACAAGCTACTAAACAATGGGTCAACAAAGATTATCAAAAAGGAAGTCAAAAAATACATGGAGACAAATGAAAATAAAAACACAACCAGTCTAACATCTTTGGGATGCAGCAAAAGTTCTTCTAAGAGATTATAGCAATACAGGCCTTCCTCAAAAGCAAAACAAAAAGAGCAAAAACAAAACAAAATAAACAACATAACCTTACACCTGAAAGAACTAGAAAAAGAAGTCCAAAGCCTAAACCCAGTAGTAGGAAGGAAATAATAAAGGTAAGAGCAGAAATAAACAAAATAGAGAAACACCACCACCACAAAAATAGACCAATGAAACCAGAACCTGGTTCTTTGAAAACACCAATAAAATTGATAAACCTTTAGCCAGATTCAACAGAGAAAAAAAAAAGGGACTTAAAATCAAAAATGAAAGAGGGGAAATAACAACCGACACCACAGAAATACAAAGGATTCTGGGGTGCCTGGGTGGCTTAGTCGTTAAGCATCTGCCTTCGGCTCAGGTCATGATCCCAGGGTCCTGGGATCGAGCCCTGCGTCAGGCTCCCTGCTCCGTGGGAAGCCTGTTTCTCCCTCTCCCTCTCCCCCTGCTTGTGATCCTGCTCTCACTGTGTCTCTCTCTGTCAAATAAATAAAATCTTTAAAACAACAACAACAAAAAGAAATACAAAGGATTCTAAGAGACCACTACAAAAAATTATATATACACATATATATGTGCATACCAACAAATTGAACAACCCAGAAGAAATGGTAAATTCCTAGAAACATATAACCTCCCAAAACTGAATCAGGAAGAAATAGAAAATTTGAACAGATTACTAGCAATGAAATTGAATAGGTAATCAAATAATTCCCAACAAACAAAAGTCCAGAAACAAATGGCTTCGTGGGGAAATTCTACCATTTTTTTTTAAAGATTTTTATTTATTTATTGAGAGAGAGAGAATGAGAGAGAGAGAGAATGAGAGGGTGGAGGGTCAGAGGGAGAAGCAGACTCCCTGCTGAGCAGGGAGCCCGATGCGGGACTCGATCCTGGGACTCCAGGATCATGACCTGAGCCGAAGGCAGTTGCTTAACCAACTGAGCCACCCAGGCGCCCGAAATTCTACCATTTAAAGAATACCTATTCTTCTCGAACTATTCCAAAAAACAGAAAAGATAAGCTACCAAATGCATTCTATGAGGCCAACAGTACCCTCATACCAAAACTAGAAGATACACTACAAAAAGAAAAAAGAGAGAGAGAACTACAGGCCAGTATCTCTGACTACAGATGCAAAAATCCTCAGTAACATAATAGCAAACTGAACCAACAATACATCCAAAAAATCATTCACCACGATCAAATGCGCCTTACTCCTGGGATGCAACGATGGTTTAATATTTGCAAATCAATGTGATACATCACATCAACAAGACGAAGAATAAAAATCATGATCATAAAAAAATAATCATGTCCATTACAGTAAACGCAAAAAAAGCATTTGACAAAGTAAAAATCCATTCAAGATAAAAACGCTTAGAGGAAACATACCTCAATGATAGACACATATTTGAAAAACAGCTAACATACGCAATGGTGAAAAACTGAGAGCACTTCCCCTAAGGTAAGGAACAAGACAAGGATGTCCGTCCACTCTCACCACTCTTATTCAACATAGTACTGAAGTCCTAGCTACAGCAATCAGACAATAAAAGGCATCCAAATTGGTAAGGAAGAAGTAAAACTGTCAGATGACATACTATATACAGAAAATCCGAATGACTCCACCAAAAAACTACTAGAATTGATAAACGAATTGAGTAAAATCATAGGATACAAAATCAATATACAGAAATACTGCATTTTTATACCTTTAATAATGAAGTAGCAGAAAACCATCAACAAAACTAAAAGACAACCCACTGAATGGGAGAAAATATTTGCAAAGAATATACCTGATAAGGGCTTAATATCCAAAATAGATAAAGAATATATATAACTCAACACCAAAAAAGACAACAAAAAATCCAATTTAAAAGGGCAGAAGACATAAATAGACATTTATCCAAAGAAGACATACAGATGGCCAACAGAACATGAAAGATGCTCATCATTCATCATGAGAGAAATGGAAATCAAAACTACAGTACTACCTCGTACCTTTCCAAATGGCTCAAATCACACAGAAACAAGCGCTGGCAAGGTGCGGAGAAGAGGGAACCCTCCGACACTGTTGGTAGGAATGCAGATTGGTGCAGCCACTATGGAAAAGAGTACGGAGGTTCCTCAAAAAATTAAAAATAGAACTACCATATGATCCAGTAATTCCACTGCTGGCTATTTACCCAAAGAAAACAAAACACTAATCCAAAAAGATATACACACCCCTATGTTTACTGCAGCATTATTTACAATAGCCAAAATATGAAAGCAACCCAACTGTCCATCCATAGGTGGATGGATAAAGAAGATGTGGCATACATACACACACACACACACACACAGAGCAATATTACTCAGCCATAAAAAAGAATATAATCTTGCCATCTGCAACATAAATGAATCCAGAGAATATAAAGCTAAGTGAAATATAGTCAGAGAAACACATAAACCGTATGACTTTGCTATGTGAATTTAAGAAATAAAGAAAAAAAGAGATAAAAAGACTCAAATATAGAGAACTGGTGGTTGCCAGAGGGGAGGTCAGTGGGCGGATGGGTGAAATAGGTGAAGGGGATTAAGAGTACACTTATAGGGCGCCTGGGTGGCTCAGTTGGTTAAGCAACTGCCTTCGGCTCAGGTCATGATTCTGGAGTCCCGGGATCGAGTCCCACATCGGGCTCCCTGCTCAGCAGGGGGTCTGCTTCTCCCTCTCCCGCTCCCCTTGCTTGTGTTCCTCCCCTTGCTGTGTCTCTCTGTCAAATAAATAAAATTAAAAAAAAATAATAATAATAATAATAAAGAGTACACTTATAATGAGCACTGAATAATGTACAGAATTGCTGAATCACTGTATTGTACACCGGAAACTACTGTAACACAGTGTGTTAATTTTACCTGAACTAAAAAATAAGAATTTTAAGAAGCTTTTTATATATTAGTAAGTTAGCCCTTATCTATGAGGTAAATTGCAAATATTATTCCAAATGCATTATCTGTCTTGTTGTGCTTATATTTTTTGCCATACCATTATTTTTAAATCATTTGCATTTCTTTTTTTTTTTTTTAAAGATTTTTTTTTATTTGAGAGAGAGAGAGAGAGAGAAAGTACCCGGGGTGGGGGGAAGGGTGGAGAAGAGTAAGCAGCAGGGTCCCCGCTAAGTGGAGAGCTGGATGTTGGGCTCAATCCCAGGACCCCAGGATCATGACCCAAGCCGAAGGCAGACACTTACTTGACTGAGCCACCCAGGTGCCCCTGCCCTACAGTTTTTAATGCAAATTTCTTAATCAC